CTATCCATAACTATGCCAGTTTCAGGGGATCTGATGCCTTCTGACCTTCTCAGGGGATACTTATATACATGCAGGCAAAACATTCAAACACATAACATAAATAAATATAAAAGAGGGAGGCTGAGAAGAGGGCAAGAGAAAAGGGAAAGGATGTCTACTCTGACTCACAGCCTCAGTAATGTTCTCCCTCATTCCATACATGATGGGGTTGTCCTTCTGATGGTGATGTCTTCTGTACATTTGTTTCTCTTATTGGCTGATGAATAAAGCACTGTGGCCAATGAGGCAGGATGATAGGTGGGATTAGGAGACAAGGAGGATTCTGGGAAACGTAGGCAGAGTGAGCTACCATGTAGGAGTGAGAGGAGTAACAGGTCCCAACTCTTTCTCGGGTAAGATAAGATCACGTGGAAATACTTAGATTGATAGAAATTGGTTAATAATTAAGACAGAGCTAGCCAATAAGAAACCCCAGACAATGGCCAACAGTTTCATAACTAATACAGTGTCTGCTTGTTCATTTGGAACTGCCTTGTCAGTGGGCCCAGGCTGGTGGGAAGAATGCTAGTAACACATACACACAGGCTCATGTGTGCCTGGTTCTCAAGAGCAGGGTTCAGAGAAAGGACATCGCTGTCTAAACTAATGGCTGGGGCATGGTAATACTGACACCCCATTTTCAAGAGACACAAATGCCAACTGGAATGTCAGAACATTTCAATAACCAGTGAGATAAAATGAAACATTAAAAAAATGACTTTATCTAGGTGTGGTGGCACACGCCCGTAATGCTGGTTCCTAGGAGTCAGAGGTAGGAGGGTAACTCTCAAGTTTGAGGCCCCTGGTCTGTAGAGTGTTTTAGAGCAGCCAAGGCTACTACATTGTAAGACAATGATGTGCACATACAAAATTTTTATTTTATATGTGGATAAACAGAATGTTAATCCATATTTATTTTGCTGGTATTAAAATAATATGTATACAGTATTAATCACATTTCCAAAAAATTCTTTTGAGACAGGACCTCACTATGTAGATCGGGCTGGCCTTGAGTTCACTGAATTCCATCTTCTGCCTCCTAAGTGTGGAGATTAGGTGTGACTTACAATTTTTGTTTTTTATTTGTGTGCATATATGTGTGTGTGTACATGATGAGTGTATACTCATACACAAAGAGGTAGGAAGAGGAGATCTAGTATTTTTTTCAATTATTTTATACCTATCTCTTGTCTATTCTTCTATGCTGTATGGCCATCAAGCTCCCAACATCCTTTTATCTCTACTTCCCAGCTCTTGGGTTATAGGCACATGTGATTGTATTAGGCTTTTACATGCATGCTGGGGATTTGAACTTGGGTCCTATTGCTTTCACAACAAGTACTCTTATCTACTGAGCCATCTCCCCAGCCCCTCTTTATTTGTTTTTAAAGACAGGATCTGGCTATATAGCCCAGGCTGGTGCCAAACTCAAGATCTTCCTGTCTCAGCCTCCTGAGTGCCGGGTTCACAGATATGGACTGCCAAACCCTACCATACTTTGAACTGAGTTTGGATCTTTTCTCATGCTAGTGAATGTTTCCAAATAAGGCCACTGTGCTGGTTAGTTTGTAAAGAATTTATTGTTATTGTTATCATCATTACTACTTGTCAACTTACACAAGCTAAAACCATCTAGTAAAAAGCACCTCAGCTAACATGTCCCCACCAGATTGCCCTTTTAGTAAGCATGTGGGACATTTTCTTAATAGTGATTGATGTGGGAGGGCCCAATCCACTGTGGGTGGTACCGCCCCTGGGCAAGTTGTCCTGAGTTTTTATTAATGCATGCCTTTAATCCCAGCACTCAGAAGGCAGAGGCAGGCAATCTCTGAGTTTGAGGCCAGCCTGGTTTACAGAGTTAGTTCTAGGACAGCCAGAGCTACACAGAGAAATCCTGTCTCAAAAAACCAAAACCAAAACACACCAAAACAAACACGCAAACATACAAATGACAACAACAAAACAACAAAAAGGCAAGCTGAACAAGCCGTGGGGAGCAAGCCAGTAAGCAGCACCCTCCATGGCCTCTGCTTCAGTTCCAGCCTTTGGGTTCCTGTGCTGTTTTCGTTTCTGCCAAAGTCCCTCAGTGATGGAGTGTTACATGGAAGTGTGAGCTTTATTTTAATAAGCCCTTCCCCTATCAAGTTGCTTTTGGTCAGGATACGTACCAACCACAGCCACGACTGATTCAGTCACATTCTGATGTCACAGGGCTCAGAACCTCACTATCACTTGAGGGTCAGTGGAACTTTTATAACATCTCAGGGGGAAATACTCTAGGAAAAAAAGCACCTGAGACTAACTGAGCTAGTAGGTTGAGGAAAGAGCCCAAAGCCACTGTGATCTACTTATGATGAAAATTAGATTATGTGGTGACTTGACTCAAAGGGTCCAGGGTTTCACTTCCTTTAACAAAACTTCAAGTTCCCCTGCCCCCACTCTTGTATGTGTTTTAACTACACCAGACCCAGTATACTTTCTAGGCCTGTCACAGGCACCAGTCCTGTCTTCATGAATCGTGTGTGTGTGTGTGTGTGTGTGTGTGTGTGTGTGTGTGTGTGTAGTGTATGGTGTGCATGTCACAGCATGGAGAAGACAGAGGACAATCCCTAGTGTTAGTCCCTGCCTTCCACCCTGTCTTCTTCTCTCACTGAATGACCTTTGGTGTTGTGTAAATAAAGGAGATGGGAGTGGGGAGTATGGAGAGCTAACACACCACCTATCTCTTGCTAAAGTTTGTGAGTGAGTTTTCTCAGGTGCTATCTTCCCCAAATCTGCCCTTGGGAGCTCCTAGACTCCATGATGGGGAGTTTTACAAACAGAGGAATCACAAAAATTCAAAGCAAACAAACAAACAAACAAACAAACAAAAACCCCATACCTAGTACCTATAAGGATGTGAAAAACTGAGTATGCCGTACACTGCTACACTGCTTCTCAGGATAAATGTCAGAACTGCTACTCTGAGAAACAGATTTTTCTAGAAACTTTAGCCAAGCTGTCAATTTTGGAAAAAAGTCTCCTAATTTGCCATGATGATTTAGTATTATACCATAATTTTATTGGCCTAGAAATATTAAACTTATTTTTTCATTTGTACAGGGATAACACAGTGTGTTAGATATACAAGGTCTTAATTTATGTGTATTTGATTATAGATTTGCAATTAATTTCTTTTCTTTCTTTCTTTCTTTCTTTTTTTTTTTTTTTGAGACAGGGCCTCTCTACATAGCCCTGGCTATCCTGGCACTTACTGTGTAGATCCGGATGGCCCTTGACCTCTAATTCACAGAGATCCACCTGTATCTGCCTCCCAAGTGCTTGGATTAAAGGCACATACCACTATGCCCTGAAGATTTGCAATTTCTTTTGTGGGAGTGCTTTGAGACAGGTCTCGGGTACCTCAAGCTAGCCTTAAACAGGTTATATAGCTGAGTATGACCTTGAACTTCTGACTCTTCTGTTTCCATCTCCTCAGTGCTGGGGTTGTAGGATTGAGCCATAATGAGTGGCATAAATAAAAAAATTGCAATTTCTTATAAAACAAAATTCATTTCAAATGTGGGCATGCATGCCTGTAATCCTATGCCAAGGCCAAAACAGGAGGGTCACAGGTTTGAGGCTAGCTTGGGCTATGTAGTAAGTTCCACTTCAGCCTTGGCTGCATAAGGTGCTTTCTCAAAAAATAAACAAACAAATAAGTAAATAAAAGACATATGTACCACGTGATTCTTGGGTGTCCCAGGGCAAGAAAGTCTTATGTATCTACAAAAACTTGCACATGAATATTCATGGAGCTTCATTTGTAATGGCAAGATCGAACACGATGAATAAATTACCATACATCCACACCATGGAACATTTACTTAGCAATAATAGAGAGTTACTGATACATGTGAAAACTCGTGTGACTCTGAAGAGAATTCTCCTGGGAGGGAAAAGCAAGCCTGAGAAGGTAAACTGAAAGTGCTATGATCCTACTGGTATATCTGTATTTTTACAGACTCTTACTATGTGTTGCCCAGGCTAGCCTCAAACTTGTGGGATGGAGTGAATCCCCTCGTCTTTCACTCCTGAGTAGCTGGGACTGTGTGTATGCACTGCTTGCCCTGTATAATGGTTTTCAGAAAACTGAGCCTTAGATTTGGAGAGCAGATAAGTGATGAGCAGTGGTTTGAGATGTGGCAGGAGATTGAGCAGGAAGTGGTTATATAGGGATCCTTGAAAAGTTTCAACTATTTTTTGTTTTGCTTTGTTTGGGACAGAGTCTCAGAAATCCCAGGTTGGCCTCAAATTCACTACATAGTCAAGGATGGCTTTGAACTCTTGATCTTCCTGCCTAAGGCTCAAAAGTGCTGGAAGTCCAGGAGAGCAATTGTCAGAAACACACACACACACACACTTACATACATATAAACAAATTGGGGGATTTGAAAAAGATCTGTAGATGTTATTAGTATCCATGCTCCATACTGTGGTTATAATATAATTTTGTGAATTCGTAACATTAGGAGAAGGGTAAAGGGTATATGAAAACTTCCAGAGGAAAGTTTAATAACAAATGATTGACTTTACATACTACATTTTTAGATATGAAAAAGATGCAAACTGTCTCCTCATACCTCAGAGAGCTTGAATGAGAATTTTCTACCATATGACCTAACTGAACCCTGAGTAGAAAACTGGATCAAAGTCAGTGTTTCATTTCAAACTTAAAATCCCCAAGGAGAGAATTATTAACTAACAGGAGAGGGCTGAAGATATGGCTCAGCGGTTAAGAGCACTGGCTGCCCTTCCAAAGGATCCAGGCTCAATCCCCAGCACCTGTATGGCAGCTCGCAACTGTCTGTAACTCCAGTTCCAGGAGATCCAATACCTTCACACAGACACACATGCAGGTACAACACCAGTGTACATAAAATAAAAACAAATAAATCATTAATAAAGAAACTAACAGTATGTATGAAGATACAAAGGAGATTTATGTGGGTCCCCGATACAGCTCAGAGAGGTGGCCCAGGAATGCACAGTTTAGAAGGGGCTCAGATCACAGGAAGCTGTAGCTCAGCCCATTGTGGAACTTCAGAAGTGCCTTGCATCAGCTGTGCTGGAGCTGGTCTGTGGTTGCAGTAGACACTGTAGACACAGCTGTCAGTGAGTTTCTTCCATTGACACACTCCCTCTTAGAAGAAGGAGGGGGCCTCCTAAGATCCAGGAAGCTCAGGTCCTTGCCAGTTCATAAGCCACCCCCCCCCAGGTCCTCCGAGCAGTGGGGCAGACTCAGGAAGAGGGTCGTCCAGTGGGGCTGCCTCCATGTTGTTCCCGTAGATCCAGGGCTTTCATGTTGGAGTGAGCTTGGTGATACAGCTGCTTGACTCTCCCTTTGACTCTCTTACTGTGGGTAACCCTGCTATAAAGTCACTGGCTCTCCAAGAGGGACTCAGGTGGAATAATGTCTTTGGTCTGTCCTCTGGCACTATATGGGGTGAGTTGGCATTTGCTCACATCTCCTCAGGAAAAGTCACACAACAGCCACTGGGTAGCATTGAGTCTGGAACAGATGACTAGCACACATGGTATGTATGGGTGTGCACGGCACTGCAGGAGATCCACTTCACATTGTCCTTGGAAAGCTAGAAAGCTTAACGATAGGTTCCTTTAACAGGCGAACTAAAGGCAAGAGTGCTATCTGCCACGAGGGGAGTATTTGCAGCTGATTAATGACACATGTGGCCTGTGCAAATGTACTGATTATCCTGTAAGGAAAAAAAAATACATATTGGTCTGAGGTTTCAGGGTTTGAGGGAAGTGGTCTGCAGTGTGGTCCAGGACCTTCATGTTTTCCATTTTGTTCCCACTTAGTTGGCTGCCATTCTAGTTCTGGTTTTGTTGATATGATAAACCATGACCAAATGCAATTTGGGGAGGAAGGTTTTGTCTTACACTTCCAGGTCACAGCTCATCACTGAGGGAAATCAGGGCAGGAACTCAAGGCCAGGAGCCTGAAGCAGAAACCATGGATGAACACTGCTTACTGGCTCACTCCTCTGTCTAGTATAGTGCAGGCTGATTTCCTTAGGGATGGTACTGCCCACAGTCAACTAACAGTCAAGAAAATGCCTGCAGGGACATGCCCACAGGCCAATCTGATCAAGGCAATTCTTTAGTATAAATAATACACTATCTTGTTGTTTTTTTTTTTTGGTTTTTCGAGACAGGGTTTCTCTGTGTAGCTTTGGAGCCTATCCTGGCAGTTGCTCTGGAGACCAGACTGGCCTCGAACTCACAGAGATCTGCCTGCTTCTGCTTCCCAAGTGCTAGGATTAAAGGCATGCGCCACCAACGCCTGGCTTATCTTGTATCTTATTAGAGAAAAAACAGCATTTGACAGAAGGCCCCAGGTCACTGCCATCAAGTCCTTCTGTTAAGAAGATGGGGCAGTGACCTGGTTACTGGTTATAAGCATGGCTGTGAAGCAAGGACCTCACATTGTTCATCTGGAGGTGCCCTTTGTAGAGGGGATAAGGGGTTCTGCAAGAAGACAGCAAGCTGCTCCTGCCCATTCCCCTCTCTGCTCCATGTTATATGCCAGGATTCCAGTCCTAGCCAGAGGTTTACCAACTTAGGAAATGGATGCTGTTCGAGGAGGAAAGGCTGTTGGCTCTCTATTCTGTCACATTTTCTCCCTTTGAGAGAGTCTCACTTTGTATCCTTGGTTGGTCTAGAACTATGTAGTTCATGTTATCCTGGGAACCTGATGAAATCTTCCTGCCTCAGCTTCCCAAAAGCTGGTGTTACAAGTGTGAGCCACCATGCCTGGTGACTTAGGTAGAATTTCTATTGCTTCGATGAAACAGAACACCATGACCAAAAAGTAACTTGGGGAGGAAAGGGTTATTTGGCTTACACTTCTACATCACTGTTCATCATTAAAGGCAGTCAGGGTCAGCAACTCAAACAGGGCAGGAACCTGGAGGCTGGAGCTGATGTGGAGGACAAGGAGTGATGCTGTTTACTGACTTGTTTATCATGACTTGCTCAGACTATTTTCTTATAGAACCCAGGACCACCAGCCCAGGCAGGGCACCACCCACAATGGGCTGGGTCCCCCACATCAATCACCAATTAGAAAGTGCCCAGCAGTCAGATCTTCTGGAAGCGTTTTCTCAGTTGAGGTTCCTCCTTTCAGATAACTCTAGCTTGTGTCTAGTTGACACAAAACTGTCGGCATACCTGGCTTCCATTTTGTCATATTCATTCTGATAGTTTTGGACTGACAAAATACATAAGCCAGTAAAACCACTTGTTTTGAAAGCCTGATAACTTGCGTTTGATCTGAGGAACCCATAGAGGAGAGAGAGAACTGAATTGTTATCTGACCTCCATGTGCACAGCATGGCATATACACAAGTGTGCTCGTGCACAGACACCACCCCCACACACACCTTAAAAGAATCTTATACTGTTTTTCGACAGTGTCTCACTATGTAGCCCCAACTGACCTAGAACTCTGTGGAGTTCAGGCTAGTCTCAAACTCATAGAGATCTGCCTGCCTCTGCTTCCCATGTGCTGGGATTAAAGGCATGTACCACTACACCCAGAAATTTCTTTCTTTTTCTTTTTTACCAAAGATAGTGTCTCATGTATCTCAGGCTGGCTTTGAACTCACTGTGTGCCCAAGGATAATCTTGAGCCTTTGCTCCTCTTGCTTCCATCTCCCTCCTGGGATTTTGTTTTGAGACAGGGTTTTACACTGTACCATAGTCTTGTCTGGAATTCCCCGTGTAACACAAGGTGACTTTTTTTTTTTTTTTTTTTTTTTTTTTTAATCAAGGCAATCCTCCACCCTCCACCCTGGGACTTAGATTATAGGAGTGCCTGCCACGTCTACCTAGCTAATCCTGATCTGTTTAATGAAGCAGCTTTTAGTCAATTCTGCAACAAGATGACTTTACATCCCAGGGACCATTTCTCTCTTTGCTCTGCATCTCTCTCAACTTTTTCTTTTTCCTTTCCCTTTTGCTTTCTTTTTTTCTAGCAGGTTCTGATTTTGTTGCCCTGGGTGACCTGGATATATAGACCAGGTTGGCCTTGAACTTTCAGAGATCTGGCTGCCTCTGCTTTCTGAGTGCTAGGAGTAAAGAGACCAGGCTAGCCTTGAACTCAGATTAGGATTAAAGGTGTGTGCATAGACCCAGCAAAAGAACTTCTGGGTGAGTTGCAGAAAACTGTCATTTTCCGACTGCATGCCCTTGGCCAGGTAGTCAGCTTCTTCAAACCTCACACCAACTCAGGTTGAAGTTAAATGAAGAGAATGAAAGGATCTATGCTGCTGGACTACTGTGAGAAGCAGTGATGATATCACAGAGGCTTTGACAGTGAGCCTTCAGCAGGTATTACTGTCATCTGCCAGTGGATCCACTTTATGGTTAATTAAATGCACCTCTAGTAAAGAACTAGAGCCTGTAGGGATAGCTAGGATACATTTTCCCCAAATTTATATTAAATGGACTATCGTCTGAACCTGATCGGCTTGAGGAAGGATTATGTTTTATTAGCTCAGGATTTAGCGCTGTTTTCAGCCAAAAATAGTTCCCTCTAGTCCCACGTGATGTCTCTCAAGTTAAAGGCCTTGTATAAAAGACACATCTTTCATGTTTTTTTTTTTTCCCCCTGTGACTTTGTACTCACCTGCAATGTCCTTTCAACCTGCTCTCCTGGGCTCATCTCCAAAGCTATCACTTCTATACTAAGATTTCTTTTTTCTTCTCAATTTCATTTGAAAAAATAAAAAGTCAAACCTTCAGAAACAACAACATGATAGTACAAGGTCACCAATATAGTTTCTCCTCCATTGAACTCTAAGCATTTTTTAAAAAAAGATTTATTTATTTATTATCTATATAGTATTCTGCCTGCGTGCAGGCCTGGTTGTGAGCCACCATGTGGTTGCTGGGAAATGAACTCGGGTCCTCTGGAAGAGTTGTCAGTGCTCTAAACCTCTGAGCCATCTCTCTAGCCCAAACTCTAAGCATTTTTAAGGTCTGCTTTCTGTCTATGTGTGTTTCCTAAAGCATTCAAAAGTTGCCAATGTTTGGTCCCTCATACTCAGTGAGCATCACCTAAGAACATGGCCATTCTTAGGCATAGCTAAATATCTCACCCTGGACACTAACATTGATTAAATATTACCTACTATATGATTTTCATGGCAAGGTTGGGTATTTTTTAAAAGAATTTATTTATTATTATGTATACAACATTCTCCTTCCATGTATATCTGCACACCAGAAGAGGGCACCAGATCTCATAACGGATGGTTGTGAGCCACTATGTGGTTGCTGGGAATTGAACTCATGACCTCTGGAAGAACAGTTGATGCTCTTAACCTCTGAGCCATCTCTCCAGCCCAAGGTTGGGTATTGATCCCAGAGATTTATGCCAGTCAAGCACTGTACTATTGAGCTATGCCACTAGCCCTCCAATTGTGTTTTGAGAAACAGTTCATTTATCACCATAGGCAAGGGATGACAAAAGGCAAAAAGTGCCTGAGAATCTTGGTAGAATCAGGTTCCTCCTGGGTGTTCTCGGAAGTGTCTGGAATTTCCATTAAGCATCTGCTTGAGATTCACAGGGTCCTCTGGACACTGTCAATTTGACAGCTTGGGGCTGTAGTGTTCCACAGAGGCAACTGTTAGTTTTGCCTGCTCCTGCTACTGCTCCCCACATGAAACTGGGGTGATCTGCCACTTGAGTTGTGCTCCTAAAGTCAGGCCAAAAAGATTGAGCCAGCATAATGATAAAGTGGTTGGGCCACCTGGATTCTGAGCCTGGATTCTGTCTATTATCCCAGGGCTGTAACAGCAAAGTACCATTGGGAGAGGGGAGGTTTAACAAGACAGATTTATTTTCTCATGGTTTGGAGGCCAGGAGTTCAAAACGAAGGTTCAGGAGATACTGGTCCCAGGCTGTTCTCTGAGTTTCTTGGGTCACCAGCAATCTGAGGCATCAGCCCTCCCTTAGAGTGACATCGTCAGTTTGTTCTCATTGTGTGTCTCTTCTTCCCTACTTCTTTTCTTTTGTCTCGTTTTTTTGAGACAGGGTTTCTTTGTGTAGCTCTGGAGCCTATCCTGGCACTTGCTCTGTAGGCCAGGTTGGCCTTGAACTCACAGAGATCTGCCTGCCTCTGCCTCCCCACTGCTGGGATTAAAGGCGTGTGCCACCAACGCCTGGGCACATCTGGAGTTTTTAGACAGGGTCTTGCATGTATCTCAAACTGGCCTGCTGCCCCTGCCTCTCCAGTGCTGGAATTACAAGTGTGTGCCACCAAAATTGGGTTTAAAATAATGTTTGTCTTTTAAAAAACAATATTTAGTTTTGGGCTAGGCATGGTGGTACATACCTTTAATCCCAGCACTCAGGAGGCAGAAGCAGGCAGATCTCTCAGTTAGAGGCCTGCCTGGTCTACAGAGCATGTTCCAGGACAACCAGGGCTACATAGAGAAACTCTGTTTCCACCCCCCCTCAAAAAAAGACTTGATGATTGTGAGCCACCTGCTATGGGTACTGGGAACTGAACCTGGGTCCTTTGTAGGAGTAGGTGCTCTTAACCATGGGCCATCTCTTCAGCCCCCATGTTTATTTTATAAAACAGGCACAAGAACTCAGTATACCTATAAATTAAAACAACTCTAACAGTATGTCAATAAGTTATTGAAAGCTTTTGAATTATTAATTCTGGAACTTTCCATTTAATATTCTTAATCTGAGATGGTCTAAGGAGAACTGAAGCTGTGGTAAGATCACTCCATTGATTAAGTTACAGCCTTCACAACCCAATCACCTATTAGTAGTACTGTCACCTGGGGACCAAGCCTTCATCACCAGAGCCTTTATGGGGTGCTCCATTTCTAAGCCATCCAAAGAAAATGTATTTTGGAGTGACACTTTGAGAGGAAGTACACCTTCTGGTTCAAAGTAACCTTTCACTTAACATTTTTTTCTGGGCTCACCCTTTTCTGCATCAATTATAACACTAGAGATGCAAAACATGAACTTCGGCTCCTAGCAGGGGAAGGCGACTACTCCTGTACCCTTGACCCAAGATAGGTCCTTCTTGATTAGGGACAGGTCATCCTCTTCCACCCAGCAGGTAGCTCCAGGAGAGATACACATGGAAGTGTAGAAGGAAGGGGTTATTTGCCTAGTTAGCCAGATCAGCTGACCAGCCCTGGTGGTCAATGCCCAGAAAGTCTTTCCAGCGAGGGCCCACTTAAAAAAAAATTATTTAAATAACTTTTCCATACTGCCCAAAGCTTTCCCTCTCTCCTCTCCTTCCAGTTGCCCTCCATCTTCCATATACCCACTCCCCCTCCTCCTCTGGCTCCATTCAGAAAGGGACAGGCCTCCTATGGACTTGTACAAAGCATGGCACACCAAGCTGAGGCAGGACCAAGCTCCTCTCTTTGTGTCAACGCTGGGCCAAGTCATCCAGCATGGGGAACAGTTTCCCTAAAGCCAGCTAAGCATCAGGGACAGGTCCTGATCTCACTGCTAGGAGTCTTACAAAGAGACCAAGCGAGGCAACTGTCACACACATGCAGAGGGGCTAGGTGGGTCCCCTGGAGACCCCTTAACTCAGAGTCCATGAGCTCCAACAACCTCAGGTCAACTAGCTCTGTGCAGGCCCACCTCTTGATAACCAAATATGTTTGGGCCATACAATTCTTTCTTTCTTTCTTTCTTTCTTTGGGCCATAAAATTCTTCCTTCCTTCCTTCCTTCCTTCCTTCCTTCCTTCCTTCCTTCCTTCCTTCCTTCCTTCCTTTCGTTTTTCGAGACAGGGTTTCTCTGTGTAGCTTTGGAGCCTATCCTGGCACTCGCTCTGGAGACCAGGCTGGCCTCACACTCACAGAAATCCGCCTGCCTCTGCCTCCCGAGTGCTGGGATTAAAGGCGTGCGCCACCAACGCCCGGCTTATTTTTCTTTCTTTTGAGACAGGGTCTCACTATGTAGCTGTGGCTAATCTTGGTCATACGGTGATCTATACGCCTTCACACTGTTGGGATTAAATTAAACGTGTATCCCACCACAGCCAGCAGATTTATCTTAGTATTTCCTGTGTGTATGCTTGCACACTAACATGGAGGCCAGAGGACTATGTTCTGTTTGCTTTTCCATCTTATCGAGACAGCCTCTCACTGTACGCCAGATTCAGCTGGACCCTCTGCCCGGCAAACTCTAGGGATCCTCTTGTCCCTGTCTCCCCACCGAGGTTACACGTGTTTGCAGCCGCAGACTTATTTATACGGGTGCAGCACTTTACAGTCTGAGTCATTTCTTAAGCCCCGCGTTTATTCTACGTTCACTAGGTCACCGCCGAACATAATATGGACAGACATGGCTGAACATAACAATAAAACTTTGTACAGGCTTGTAAACCCAGCACTCAGGAGGCTTAAGTAGAAGGATCCGAATTCCAGTCCTGCCTGAGCTACATAGTGAAGCAGCAGTCTCAAAACAAAAACTTTCGAGTGTCAACTTGCTTGTTACCCTTGGGTTTACTACTGTACGCTGGTCCATTGCTGTCGCCTAACTTGCTGCTGGAGAAATCACATTTCCACAGAGTTCCTTGTGAGACCCTCCAGGGCATGGGTCGGAATCTCCCGTGCAGGATTCTAGAAAAACCGACCTGTTACCCCGCATCCCATGCCATACTAAGCATCACCCTGGGCCTTTCCACCTAACTCCATCTCGGCCACCGTACTGGTCCAGACAGAAGAAGGGATTAGTTAGGAAGCGCCCGCGCGCCGACGCAACCACGATGCTGGACGGGGAAACTGAGGCCTGGGCGCTGAAGCGACACCGTTTCCGCCGAGAGAGGACGCTCAGGGACCCAAACCTCGAGTGCGTACCTGGCGCTCGCGCCCGGCCCGCAACACTTCCTGTCCCGCGCGGGTGCGGCGCTCACGTGACCCGGGGCTGGGCGGAGATCACCTGAATAAGGGCGTCACGTGAACGGGAG